GTATATTTTAAACACAAGTAAATATATATAGGGAACTCTCCCAAAAGAGAGGTATTTTACTTGCTTAAACATATCTTACCAGAGTTCTTTAAGTAACCACTTACCAACAACCATTCAAAATGAGGAACGCCGTAGTTTCACGTGTATTGGGCAAGCTATAAAACAATATAAAAATTTTGTATGAATCAAAGTCAAGAGTTTAGCACAGGTCATTACAAAGTACAAAAAGCAAAAAAAACAATTGACAGAATGTTTGTTCACACCTTTAGTGTAGTTTGGTTACTGAGTGTGTAACACATATCACAGACTCCTTCTTTATGGCGAACGGTGTATTAATTCCATGTTTAATAAGAACACACCAATCACACGTGCACTAATTCATGTGCTAGTAATACATATAATGAGAGATCATAATAACTGTACACTGATTTAACTAAAAGCATGTTAGGCTGACAGAGGATAAAGACATTCTCTGAGATTCCAACACAAGTTGATTTACCGGAGTTTTTTTTAAACGAAAATAAGAAGAGCTTAAAATTAAAAAGTCAAAACTACAAGCAATTCGCCAGTCTGTTGAAGTTACCAAAGATAGAAGACAATATTTAGAATTTCCCTTAATATTTTAGACCTGACGATGACTTAGTTGGAAATATTTATTAAATAAATGGCGGATACTTCTGCGCATTGAATTCTTTAGACAAGTTTTTATAAAAGAACACTTTCAAACCTTTACAGGTACTTATGACGTAGCAATGTGGAGTGGCGCATTTGGACAAGGACATATTCCATACACTGCTTTCCACGAAATTATTGCCATGGTAAAACAAGGTACGTGTTAATACCATTTCCCCCTATATAACATTTATCAACTTTAACCTATAAAAGCTATAATACTTTGATAGACACTTATGCAATTACAGGCCCGGCATGGCCAGGTGGTTAGGACGTTTGACTCACACTCTGAGAGTCGCGGATTCGATTCCCCATCCCATCAAACATGCTCACTCGTTCAGCCGTGAGGGCGTTAAAAAACGCCGGGCAATCCCACTATTTGTTGGTAAAACAGTAGCTCAAGTGTTGACTGTGAGTGGTGGTGACTAGCTGCCTTCCCTCTAGTCTTTCACTGTTAAATTAGGGATGGCTATCGCAGATAGCTCTCGTGAAGCTTTGCGCGAAATTCAAACAAACAATCTAATCGCATACGCTTAAATCTATAAGTCTACTTGTCCTAGTCGTAACATTAGTTAAGCCTTTATTAAGTTCGGCCTGAATTCGATAAAGAGATAAATCAACACTGTAACTTGTGTACGTTTTTTGCTTTAATTCAATTAGGGCTAAACCTTACCGCACTTAATACTATCAATAAATAATATTCTAATATTATTGTACGACCTAACGTTAGAACCTTTTTAAAAAAACTTTGATAAGATTTTAATATGTTGTATAAAATGTCTACCAAAGTATATTTACGTCCTTTCTGGCGTAACTCGACGAATTAACAAAGATACGTTTTCAAATTGCTAAAGACACTAGCTAAACTCTAGCTAAACGTCTACGTATATACACGAGACCGACCTCCAACGAAGAACCGGTAACTCCGTTGTCTTGTGGGCGACAACAATAAAGAAAAAGCAGTGGAAGCAGAACATAGAGCGGCAACTCCACAATAACACAGAAAATCGACTTTATCGAGTGAAGTGCGAAATAATGCCAATAACTTATGTTTGGTGTTCTTCAACCCAAGGAGAACAAGAATGTGGAACGACACAAGTGTGACTCTGTCATGCCAAGGCTGAAGAATATACCCCAGGAACTTCTTCAGAGCACCGAAAAAGATAAGCCTAGCACTAGTGGCCTTAACAAAGAAAAAACACGAAATAAAGCCATAGTACCAGCATATTAAATAACTCACAAAGCCTTAAAGTACAGAGAGAACATTTTCTGTGCTTCAGTAATTTTTAGTACAACAGCTCATTTTCAGAATTGATGTTAACTTATTCAGTTGTTGTTCGAAAAGCTAAGTGTTGGTAATAATGTAAATGCTATATGCAAAACATTTAGTTATATTCTCTTCAAAATGATATCATAAACAAGCTATCTAAGTGTTAGTAAAGTCTAAACGTTTGTCGTTCAGAAAGGTGTCCATAAAAGATCAAATGGACTTTTGTTGAAATTCACAGGTAAAGTTGATTTTATCATATAGTGAACAAACTTCATTAGCTGTCCTTCATTTTCTAACATCAAAACTACGTCATATACATCATGGTTATAAGTAAGTGGTACTAAGAAGAAGAATCAGGCAGAAACCTTTGTTCGTTTAACACACAGAAACAAATTAGCCACGAAAAGAGCTGAACACGAACCATCGCTCAGTCTACTTGTTTGTTCATGTAACTTTCCTCCAAATGGTTGCTGTTTACCACATCTTTATAGGGAAAAATAAAATTTCTTCTATACCGTGCTTACATTAATACCAACACTTTTGAGATTTTCCAACAAGAACTGAATAACTTAATGTTTTCTTTTTTCTAAAGCGTTTTGTTAAGTCTCGTATTGATAAAATAGTAAAACTAACTTTCCAATCCTTAGCAATTAAATTTTGATGTTCCCAAACCACCAATGTTCACAACTCTACCGTCCGCCCCCAGTGGCACAGCGGTATGTCTGCGGACTTACAACGCTAGAATATGGGTTTCGATAC